TGCTATTATGGGTAGATTTTTTAAAGTACAATGCCTTAATAAAAAATAATTTGGAAGTATATTGCTGTAATAAAGAAAAACAAAAGTAGAATGCTATAATAAGAAATGTTATGAAAGTAGGTTGTTATTTCATACATTTAACCCTTATAAGGAAATGACACATTCATTGGCAAGGGGTTGTTCGACATATGTCGAATGGTTTGGTAAAGAAGATTAAGTTGTCAAAATGATTAAGAGACTCTTAAAATATAGTGCAAAATGAAATATATTTGTTTGGTAATTGTTTACAATGAAATTAAGGGTGCTTAATGGTTAAGAAAGACCCATAATACAAAATCACTCAGAGGGTTTTAGAATTATTAAGAGACACATATTTTTTTGTCAAACAAGATTCACCTTTTAATGATTTAGAAGTTGTCTTTTAATGGAACTATCAAGAGGTAAACAAACAATTACCTAATAAAAATAAGGATTAAGAGTTTGTTTGTTTACCTCCTAATCTATACTATATTATAAAATATTTGACAAAAACTTCTAAAAATAATTTTTTTAAATATAAAGTATTGTTTGTTGATGCATATTACTTAAAATTCAAGATTACAAGTAAATTTCGCATAAACATAACTTATTAAAGCTTCATACTTGAATTCGTGTACCTAATTACAGATAAACATAATCAAATATAGAATAAACATTTTATAATTAAGATAATCATTGAGTTCTCACATAATATTTAATTATTATCTTTATAAAAAAATTAAATTATTAAATTAAATTATAATTTAAAAAAATTGAATTAAATAAATTAAAAAAAAAAACTTTTAAAATTTGATACTGAATTTATTTTTTTCTAAATTTTATGATATTTTAAAATTTATATTTTACTAAAAATAAAAACATTATCGTTTTTTCAAAACCACATAAAACCGTATTATAACATCGTTAGAGACAAAATAAAATGAAACATTAAAATCGAGATGTATCTCGCTGCATTACACGAGTATTCTTCTGGTAATTATATTAAGAGAATGTTTTTGAATTGTTAATAGTTGAATCTTGTTTGGTAAAAAATATATATATCTTTTAATGGTTCTAAAACTCTCTTAATAGTTTTAAAACCCTCTGAATGATTTTGTATCTTGGGTTTCACTGAACCATTCAGTGCCTTGATTTCATTCTGAACAATTATCAAACAACTATTTTTAATTTGCATTGTATCATAAGAGTATATTATCATTATGACCACTTAATCATCTTACACCAAATCATTCAGAAACTGTCAAACAATCTCTAAAACGAATTAAAAACTCTACGAACATGTATCAAAAGTAATTGAGACATAAAATGTAGAAAGACAAATAGAGTGACGAATTCAAATAATAACAATAATAAATTTAAAAATTTGTCAAATTTCAAAAACTGTAACTACAAGAACTATTCGAATACTGTAATATTCGGGTTATTTTATTGGATTTAATAATTTAAATCTTTATGTTTATATTAAAAAATTTATAATATAATGTTGTGTGTGAGTATAGAGTTTGGGGAAAGGCGGCTTATGCACTTGCTATTTATAGCAAGTGCATATGAAAGGAAAAGGGTGGTTGTTATTATTGGATATTCTGGAGAGCAAAAAACCAATTGAGAGTAAAGACTGAAGGAGAAATTGCAGACTTGAATTCAATCAGCAATATAAGGTGAGTGTATTAAAGCTTTAAGTATAAATTGTTTGCATACAATTCAGTAGTTATTGGAACTGGTTATTATGATTTATATTACATTATTGTGCGGATATTCCTTAAATCGTCCAAGTGTTGACCGGTTTATTCTTAAACCGCTCAAGTGTTGTTCGGACTCAACCCTAAATCGGTCAAGAGGTGACCGAATTAAACATAAATCGCTCAAGAGGTGTGCGGATTAAAACTAAACCGCTCAAAGAGAAGTGATGACCGGATTGATATCCGGACAGTTTCATCCGTATTATAAATCGCTCAAGGTGTGGTTGATTTACCTTAATATTCTAAGTATTTGTCCGGATTTCATATCCGGACAAGGTTGATCGGACTTCAAATCCGGCTAATATGTTGAATCATTTTAGAGATATAATGGCGGTGTAACCGCGAGAGAGATGTAATGGCGGTGTAACCGCGAGAGAGATGTAATGGCGGTGTAACCGCGAGAGACATAAATAAGTTTAT